GAGTTACAGACCGAAAGTTACTTTATTTACTTTTTCACTTTAATTCAGAAATTTCGATGAAAATAAATAGTCATTTTGTGTCGTCATAAACGTCAACATGCGGGTTTGCATGATGAGCACGGGAGATTACTTCATAATAATATTGATTGGCATAGAGTTTTTTTCTGAGAAATTTCCCGTGAAAATTTATTCACAGGATGACTTGTGTTCTAGGCAGTGAACTTAATGAACTTTTGAATGATGACTATTTTCCCCACTGTTAACAATGTGAGCTTATCATGAATATGTTTAATTAATACTGAGTTATTCAAATAAAGGTTCTGGTGTCTACATTGCATATTTTGTTGTGATGTTTTGTTGTACCATCATAAATGGTATATTTTGTGGAGCAGACTGCCTAATTTGATGTCATTAAATTACACACAAAATTAGAGCTCAGGTTGCACCAGCAAGCACCAAAACATGCTGTTCTTGTTTTCGGCGGACGACAGAGGGGACACCTCCCTCTCCTTCTCTCTTCTCCGTTGTGCTCGGTCGCGGGAAAATGCTCCGCAGTTTCCAGACAAAGTTTACTAATACTTTTTTTTCTTGATTAGTAAATTTACTATTACCTAGAAAATTCCAGAGAGAGCCCAGGAATACTCATTTGATGTTGTGACTGTTGTATATAAACATATAAACAGTAGACTTGAGCTGCTTGGAGTTAGAGTTTGCCTTGGTACCCTTTGAAAAATATAGATTTTCCCTATTCTCCGGTGCGACGCTACGTCATAAGACGTTCCATGCTGCTAAGACTTGCACCACTGTACCATGGAAATCTATGGGCTCTGCGCAAGCTGGTGAAAATAGCTAAATTCAAGAAGACAGCACAAAATGAAATTTGAAGTAATCCTGAACAACCAAATTTTATATATGTTACACACGCAGAGGTAATCTTGTTACACTGTTCAGGGTAGTCTCAACTACCATCCCAAAGTACCGTTTTCTAAGTGTTTTCGACCTTTGTTTTCACCGTGATGGTTGCCAGGAGATGAAAATGCCCGGGTGTCCACCCAGAGAATAGTATATTTATATGCTTGAGGCAATTTTATTAAATTTTACCTTGAAAATGGGTGTCCTTTCAATCCCAATTTCAAGCCCAATACAGATTTGAAGTTCTGTTGAAAAATGGTTTTGGCCTGCTGACAAAATTCCACCCGTCAATGTTTCTGAGACAAAATTGAAATTGTTATGAATTTCGCTAGTCAGTCTTGTTTACACCAAATTCAAATATATGCTGTGCTACAACTGGGGCACTTTAAGAAACTAGCTGTATTGTCTCATATCACTTTGTATTGTCTTACCTAGGTTGATGAAGATTACATTCAAGATAAATTTAACCTAACAGGTTTAAATGAACAAGTACCACATTATAGGCAAGCTTTAGATATGATATTAGACTTAGAACCAGGTGAGTTAAATAATAATGACTAGGAACTATTGATGAGCTTGTTTACTACCTTGTCCATATAATTAAATGTCGATGAAATAAAACGTGTACATCTTTTTACACTTAGTTGGGAAATTTTCAACCAATCTGTTATATGCTCAGACAAGTAAAATAGACTTGTTTCAAAATTGAGGGTGGGTGTGTGTTTCGTGCTTGTAAAAAACTCAAAAAACGCTAGGCTAGACTGGTTCTTATTTTAATGCACAGAAATTATCAGTTGTATTATTTACGTAAAATCTTGATTAAAATTCTTGATTTGGATACTGTGAAAGGATCAATTATTCACTGGGTTTTAATTTTTGCTTTTTTAGCTGACTGGAAAATGCGCTAAATTAAAACCCAGTGAATATGCCTGAAATGCTAAATCAGTGAAATTTAAACCCAGTAAAAATTAGTCATTTTACAGTAGAGCAATATGTATATATACTAACTGAATATGCGTGGATACACAAGATAACTTGCTTATGCCCAAAACCTGGCATGTGTTCTCATGCTGTCTGGCACACACACCAACATTCAGGATATATTTTTAAGCATTCTTTGTTTATATACATGAAGCTTACTCTCCTAAATAAATGCCGAAATTGGTCGTTAGCAAAATCCAGCCAAAGTTTTCGATGGCTGTAATCTTGTACTGTTTGATGCGTAGCAATAGTCCGTCAAAGTGGCCACGATCTATACAAGCTTAACTGGCAGAATGTTCTGGTACGGCATTTTCATGAAAGTGGACACATATTATAATGTTCATATTATTGATGAGTTTAATATTTTATCTTGACAAGATGATGAACTAGAAGAGAATCCAAATCAGAGTGATTTGATTGAACAAGCAGCTGAAATGCTTTATGGACTTATACATGCAAGATTCATCATGACAAATAGAGGCATAGCACTTATGGTAAAATAATTATTCTTATTCAGACTGTGAACTTAGAGTTCTTTTTTTCTATTAATTGTGACTTTACCATTATTTTATTTATTCAACCACAAAAGTAACTATAGACAATTTTTTATTTAATATTTAAATCACAGAACTGAGCAATGATAAAAGGTTGTTTAATACAATTATGAACTGATTCAGAATCAAATTTGGAATTGGGAGATTGTAATTTCCTTTAAAATGTTTCTTCAATTCTGTCTTATTACAGAGCTTCACATGCAAATACAGAGATTGTTGATATTTCTGAAACTTAAATGACTATTACATGCGATTTTTGAATGTTTTCACTCTGTTGTACATTGAATTATGGGAAAATATCGGCATACAATACCTCAGTACTGCAAACATAATGAAACATTTTTCTTCCACTGCAAGATCCTACGTTATGTGAAACTGAATGTAAAAAAAAAAAAACGACCATGAAACATTGCGTGGATTTGACAAGTGCAAAACTATTTTTGGGGTATTTCCAAGCTCAATAATGTACACATTTGATGATGGTTAATTTTTTTTTTTTTTTTTTTTTTTTAAATATTTTTGTGCCAGGCGACAGTTCCAGACATTGAATGTCACTGTTGTCACTCCTGACTTTTTTTTTTTAAGTGCAAATTGCAAGTGCTAGTGTTGACACATAGTGCATTTTGCCACAGAAGTCATTTCCTGTTTGGGACTACATGACCGTGCTGTGTGGCCATCTCCCTATCAAATGGCAATTTTAATGCGCTATCCTGGCGTCAACCAGGCTCGGTCGAACACAAGCACCTGCGGACCTTAACCAAGGTTCCCCCAAAGTCGCATTCGTAAGTGAATGAATCTCGGCCAGCGGAGTTGGCCTTCCCATTGAGTCTGTGGCACACTCACCCAGGGTAGGGGTTGACCCTTTGATATTCAGCCTAAGGTTGGATTTGAACTTGGGTCTACCGATCATGAGTCTGATGCGACAACCACTATGCTACCAGTGATCGGTTAGATGATGGTTAATTTTGATGAAGTAAGGGTATCCCAACATTATATTCAACATTTCACTGAACTATAAAATTAAGAAATTCAAGTACAAAATCAAATTGTTTGAATTTGCATCAGACGTTTGGTTTGCGCCTTTCACACATTACGTGAGATCTTGCAGTGAACGGAAAATAATCTATTGCAATTAATATCTGCTTAATACAAAAAAAATAGTATTGCAGGATACCCAATATTTGTGGTGTCTACTTTTGTGTAATGAATGTAACTCAAAGTGTAATTCATCAGTACTTTATTATTAGCTCTAGGATTATTCATCAACATTTTATCATCAGAATATATCTGTTAGATTAATTTAATGAAACACTCACTAATATTTACTAAACCACAGAATTATCTTAGCATTGTTTGTTTTTATAGCTTGAAAAATATCTTCAAAATGATTTTGGTCATTGTCCACGGGTATATTGTGAAAATCAACCATGTTTACCAATAGGTAAGTATAAAAATAAAACTTGTGATACTATAAGAGTCTTTGTAATCATAACTTGTCTTCTAAGCTACCATGAAAGCTCAATTAATAATATAGAGCCGATCCAGTAATTATTATTCTTGCTCGTGTTCACTATTCTTCTGACCTCATGTAACAATGGTATTTGGTACAGTGTTCATGAAATGTTTTGCAACATGTTTTTTTTTTAATTACGCTTTCAATAATTAATTTTCATAAAGAAGTAAATTGATGCAATTTTAATACTGCTGATCTGATGATATTATTTAAGATGATATATTCATAAATTATCAATTTAAAGAGAAACTGTATACATCAATTCTTTTCTAGGACTTTCTGATGTACCTGGTGAAGCAATGGTTAAACTGTATTGTCCTAAATGCCAGGATGTATACACTCCTAAATCGTCACGTCATCATCACACTGATGGTGCCTATTTTGGCACAGGATTCCCACATATGTTATTCATGGTACATCCAGAGTACAGACCTAAGCGACCACCAAATCAGTTTGTTCCCAGGTGTGTAGCATTAACTTTAAAACTCTGTCATAAATGTTGCTTATATATTTGCTATAGTCTGTTCAGACAACTGAGTTACTAGTCATTTGGCTGAATGGCGATTTTACTTGTCATGGGACAAACCCTTAGTGCCAAGCCCTGCATACAAATAATACTGCATGAAAAATATACCATATTTTTACCAAGAATTACATATTTCGTGTCATATTTTGTATGTGGATAATGAATACATTGATGTGTATTTGGTTAGGTTTTGTGGGAGAGAAAGCTAAAATTTAGAAAAACAGCTGCCATTGGCTTACAGGAATAAAATGTTGGTAATAAAATACAATACATTTAATAATAAAGTGAATTTTCAGTCATTATTATTTCTGATTTCTAATTAAAGATCATTCTTTTGTAAATACTAAGTCATGATTGTTGCCATTAATAACTGATTTGGATTACATGTAAACATTTGAGAAGAGGTGACATTGATGAAATTGTCTTCCCTCTGAATGTTCAATTCTATTGTAATTTTAACTGACAAGATAATTTTTAATTCAAAATAAAATTCTTATATGTGATCATGTCCTCAACTATAGCCCTGAGATAATAGGGCTCACTGGGTGTGTTGACATTCCATCTTGGGGTACACTGATCAGTGGCCATTGTACATTTGTTGTGCCCATGTGTATGCCTCTTTTAGTACATTCTGCGACAAAAATACCACATAAAATACTGCAAAATTACGGCACGTAACAGCGTTACGGTGACAGATGTATAATAATAAATGATATTGGCCTGTTTTTAGTGTAATATGCCATATTTGTGCTATTGGTAGCTATGGTCAAAATAAAATTGTATTTTAGTATGCATACATTTAAAAAATGTAATTTTCAGTTTCTTTGTGTTTTTATCTGAGATCACTCCAACTATGGTAATTAGAATAATATTGTGCGTTTTCTAATTTGTGTATTTTCATCATTAATACTCATAACGAGGTCTGCGAATGTAACCTCTTTGTTTATTGTCTTTCTTTCTCTCTGTATCTTCCATGTATACAGATTATATGGTTTCAAGATACATAACCTGGCATACGAAATGCAATATCAAGCAGCACCACGCAATCGTTCTGCTATATCACGCACCAGTGGTCCACGAAACAAGTGACCCTTGCATGTTAGTCCAACCCATAGGCATATACCTGTTGTGAGACTTGCACTCTTTAATTCCTTCATGTTTCAATTCTTTCAGATTGTATGGTTTCAAGATCCATCCGATGGCATACCAGATACAAGCCCAGGCAGCATCGTCTCGTAACCGCACTGCCACTGCTCGGCCACGCACTGCCAAACCCCATTACAAATAGCATGGAAACTTTTCCAGATCCCTTCTGTTTCTGGCATGTGCGCAATACCCCTCATCAACCTCAAAAAAAGAAAAACTCACCTGTACATTATTTACAAGTATTTTACATAACTTTCAAATCAACCCCTTTATATTTTCTTTTGTATCCCATTGTGAACTTCTTCTGAATGTCTTGTGCAAATCTTTGTGTTGCTGTACCATGTATATTTTGCCTTCACATCAGATGATCAAAACACGGTTACATTGTGCTGGGGTTTTGCTGTACATGTACAAAGTGCAATTGTCGAATGAAACATTGTGATAAAAAGACTTTGTTATATGCCTATGGGTACTTTTTTTTTTTTTTTTGAACAGAATTGATAGGTTGCATTATTTCTTTTATGTTTTGATAACTTATTAGTCACTTCCTATTGGATATTGAAGCCTATGCTTTTGAAACTAAAACAACACGTTTGTGAAATTTTCTACAAAGGAGGTCGGAATTGGAATCTTTGGTCATGTTAATTTTTTCTACATGAGCTTCAACAAAAAATTCTGTTTTGAATTACAACTGATGGCTTGACCATAATTCACCAGAGATACCAATCTCATCAGAATGTTTTATTGAGTGTCAACGTCAACTTCGGAATTGTTTTTGCATTGATTTTCTTACTGTTGACCTACTGTTGAAAAATGTCAGTCCACCTTGAAATGGTATATCACTATTCAGGACAAAAGACAGTGTTCACAGATTGAAATGGTACATAAAATGATTATTATTGATCAATGTGAGCTACAACAAAAGTACTGTAGAATGTGTCCATTGTTTAACTGGATTTGATGTTGCATATTGTTAAATCTGAATATGCTCTAGTGACACAGTAAGCAAAAATAAAACTATAAATGAATCTTTTCACCACCATACTTTCTTGCCCAAATTTTCATGCACTTTTTTTTGATATTCTTCAATATTTCTGGAAATGAACCCTAACTTTGGAGCCAACATACAAAATTTGAGTCAATTTTCTGATTTTACTAAAAACATTTGGCTATTTTTGTCCCAATCTTTTGAAGGAAATTGCAGATTATAAACAGGACTATTTTGTGAATTTGTGATGAAAAGAGGGAACTGGTGGTGAAAAGGATATCCTACTACAGAATTGAAAGATTCATGTAGCCTGCATAAATTATCAAGAACGATAAGTTTTAAATTGGATCACAATTTGGAAATACACGTGACCCAGTTTATCGATTTAACTTTAATACATACAAAAACAACTTATTGAAGTGATTTGGTGAAGCATATCCCACACTTTTTGACCTTTCAGGAGAACTTCTATGATAAACTTGTACCATAGATGGTCAGTGAACACAATCACTCTCTGCTGTTAACAGTAAATTTGAATAGTTGTTTAAAAATTCTCCTGATGTAAGAAATGTCAACCGTCATGGGGCTCTGTGTCTTGGTTGCTGAATTTAAACTGATCTTATTTTGATTCTTTGTTCCAGTGAAGCCTACCAATCATATTTAATGATAATAAATCTGCCTTGCCATGCATTTAATTGCACAGGCTTGAAAGTTAAAAAATGTTTGGCTCTGTGAAACCTGAATATTTTTGATATAATTGTCTTGAGGACACAGCTTTACTAATTTAGTTGTCCTAATTATTGCAGAGCTCCAAAGTATCCCATTGATTTTTCTGAACTGCATGGAATGCCACATAGATCAATATTTCGTACTTTTGAAATTTGTTTATCAATTCTTTTTGCTCAACATTCATGGATCTATCTTCTAACTTGTTCTTTGTGGGATTTTTTCATGTTATTGAGCTGCACTTACAAGAACAAAGTCCTTTCTAGTACGCACTCTTGTCCAAGGTACTATATACATTGTGAAACTTTCTATGTTGCAAAAATCTTCTTGTTTAAACATCATGTGGAACAACTTTTTGTACATGTTCTTTTTTTCTTTTTTTTTGTATCAGTTTAGAAAGTGACAGTAAGCTGTCTCTGTATAAGTAAATTTCTGTAGTGAACAAGCTGTTTCAGTGTCTTTACTTTTCTTGTTAGTACATCAAGCCCTGTCTTGTATAAATAACACCTGAAAGTGAGGGCTCTTTTGGAATTTGAATATACACAAGATAAAAATATAAGAAGTGTGATATTTTATCATGTGTATGAGGTGCTCAACATGTCTGCCACACTAAGCAGAGCTTTTATTTTGTGATACCTGAATGCAGTTCATTTGTGAATATTTTGTGATTGCCCACAATCCTATTTCGTTTGTACTAGCATATATTGGTTGGTAAATGTCCCCAATGCACAGCCATCTGTGAATATGCTTCATTCATTCTGAAAAGATTCATGCTTTTCTTTTCTCAAAATTTGCTGAGTAGTGTTCTATCTTGTCAACAGTAAACCAAACTTGAAGCGGTGGAGTCGTCACCTGCACATGTGTCAGATGGCCATAGCATGTCATTGTTTACAAACAAGTGTCTACCCATGAGCCTTTGCGTTTTTAGCGTGTGTTATCATCGTGTGCGCAGGTGACTACCCTTCTCACTTTAATTTATAACCATACTAAGCAATTCCTAAATAACAAAGGAAATCTTTAACACCTGAGGTGTCTTTAAATGGATGAAACAAAGAAATGTGGCATCAGTTGATGAGCGGGAGTACTT